ATCAACTGTTTAAATGATTCGGTTCAATCGCAATGACTCACTTATTAACAGTGACTTGCTGCCACCTACTGGCGGTTTTAATTTCACATTTAAAGTATCTTTTCATTTTTTTAAATCATTTCAAATATCAGTATTCAGCGTTTTGTTTAATATGTCAAAACATTATTTTTTGCATTTGTAACTGCAGGTTAAATGATTAATGTTCTGCGTTAAACAGTGTGTAAATACTTCTAATTGCCACTTCAGATGCAGCTTATGTCTGGATTGCAAAGATGAATTTTGTTAATACTGATTTCATTTGCTTGGTAACAGCCCAAATTACTTATTTCACAAGTTAAAAAGTTAAATGTAAGAATTTGACTCAAAAGATAATGCACATTAGGCCTATAGAAAAAAATTGCTTTATAAATGCCCATAAACCCATAAAAGGTAAAAATCAATTTAAACTTATTGGAAAAGATTAATTTCTATCTGACCACCACACAGAATATGAAGAATATCAAAAACTTTAGGAGTCAGCTGTCCACGAAAGTCCTTAAGATACCAGCATGATAACACACTCAATCAGTTGAATGAATGACTCAATGCCAATGTCTTACTCAGTGTCTTACCGTCACTTACTTTAGTTTAGTTGAGAAGTATGTTGAAAAGTATGCATTTTTCCCCTCAACATTTCTTATTTGTATATTCATAAAAGCATTTAAAACATTAATCTCATAACATTATTTATTGCAGTTGTAATTATTGTTATTTGCAGTGTAAATTATTTAATCTGACTGGTAGCAGCCCAATAGTGTATATTGAATTTATTGATAAATTGTAATAATTTGACATGAAAGATGATGCATACATCTAAAAAGGTTAAAAATAGGCCTTTGTAAAGGTAAATAAAAATATGCAGATTTAAGTGTGTAAAAGCTGATAGAACACTGATGAAAATATTGCTTCAGAATAAATAGTTTACTCCACCAAAAAAATTTTTGCAGGGATATTTTGTATGGAATATTGTCTGCTGACATGAAAAGTTCACTGTATATCGTAGTAATAAATATAATTTATCACAGCAATGATATTGTGTTTTCTTTTTAATTTAAACATATTAAATATTACATATATGTATGTAATAAAATTTGTATTTCCATTACAGGTTTAGGTCTTAAATTTCATACAAGGTGGTATTAAAAAGGTCTTAAAGTCTTACATTTAACTTGTTCATTTCTGTAGAAACCCTGATTTTTATCTTCGCCCACTTTGGCCTAAATGTCTGTCATTCTTTTTTATTTTATATTGTGTTACAATGAAAGGCTTTTTTTTTTACAATAGGGAAATTAGATTGGCTGTACTGCTCAGGCAACTTGCAAAATAGTCAAACCAACATGACAAAGAATTGTGATTGAATCGTGATATTCCTGAATAAAATGGTGATATGATATTTTTCCATATTGCCTACCCCTAACTTGTGCTACAACTGTTTGGCCTGTGCTACAAAACTTTCAACCTCTGTAGCACCAGTGCTATGTGCAAAAAAAGTTAACGTACAGCTCTGATATATCCCAAAACAAAAAAATCCTCCCAAAATATCGAGTGTGACGTGTGGGAGCGGGGCCGGTGGACTAATTGATAATGAGCGACACCTGCACCACTCACCGGTCTTGAGTCCCACGGAGGAGCTCCGGAAGGATAAAAGGAGGAGTGATGACAGTGAAAGACGAGAGAGGACCAGGCCTGGACATTATTTTGTCTTTTGTGTGCAGCAGTCGTCTGCGAGGGGCTGCCGCTTTACTTTAATTTTGTGTTTGTTTATTTTATTATTAAAATCTTAAATGTTCGCCGGTTCCCGCCTCCTTCTTCCCGAACTACGAACTGTGTTACAAAATAAAGTCCAGGCCTGGTTCTGTCTCGTCTTTCACTGTCGTCACTCCTCCTTTTATCCTTCTGGAGCTCCTCCGTGGGACTCGAGACCGGTGAATGGTGCAGGTGTCACTCATTATCAATTACTCCACCGGCCTCGCTCCGTTCCCACGGCTCTCGGCCCCGCTCCCACTCGTCACATCGAGATATAATTCATAATTATAATATAATAGATATAATAATCCCCCCCCCCCAATATCTCACACCACTAGTCTGTCTTGACCTTTTCTTATCTTCTGTTTTCTTCTGTGTCCTAAAAACATCTCTGGTCTCTTTGAAGTGTTTGCTCTTTCAGCTCACTTGAGTTGACAAGCAGGGGCAGATTTAGTGAATTGGGGGCCCCAGGCAAAATATAGGAATGGGGCTCTATACATTTGCACACATTTTCCCAGATCAACTTGCTGTTGCACAATGGTGCCCCATAGTTGTGTCCAATGTTTCTACATTTTTCATGTACATGTTATAATGGCTTTCTTTCATGTTGTAGACCACGAAATAGCAACTGATTTACAGATGAGATACAGGTTTTCACAAAAACAAAATAAATTATAAAATGATAAACCTCACAATTGAGCGTTTAAACCAGGGGTGAGTCAGAAGTATAAATTATTATATTAATTTAAAATGGGGTTATGTGGGTGGATTTTCGCATTGGTCTGAACAAAAACTACAGACTGGATTATTGAAAATGAACATTCATTCTCTGCCAGTAGGAGGCGCTTTTGGAACGTCAGAAATATAGAATGAGAAAAGTGTGAAAAAAATATAGCCTATATTGATGAGGAAAGTCCACTGATGAGTTACCAGCGTAAGCATGTGTGCAAAGGCTATCTACTTCTAAACGTTAAAATACTTTTATTTTAACTACAAATTTATATAAAATTAAAAAAATTATGAAAGGCAATTATACATTTACACACCTAAGGATTATATCAACCAAAAAAGTAACTGCGTATGTGTCCTCTGCTTGGTTCCTTCTCATAAATGAGTAAGCGGCATTTAAAACAATTATAAACATATAATACACTGTTTCTCAGTATTTAATTACAGCTTCAGATGCATAATATTTTCATCTCCTTCAAGCAGGATACACAAAAAGCACGTTCAACTTGGACGGTTGTCGTGGTAATAAACACCGTAAACCGCAACCGTTTGCGTGTCAGCGCTTAATGCGCATCTCCTATAAGAAAAGCATTTTAGGGGGCCCTTGGCTTTTGGGGGCCCAAGGCGCCGGTCGCCTACCTTTACCTAATGGGTAAGTCCGCCCCTGTTGACAAGTGAACAGTTGATTTGCTGAACTTTGCAGGTTCCCACAGAATAAGAATGTCTGTCATGCACAAACTACTTCTTACATATTCCGGTTATTAAATATGTTGGCTTATTTGAGTATGCATTCAGCTAGCTACTGGGTATTCTCAGGTCTGTTTAAACATCCCATCCAAATTCATTTCACAGATTTCTGCAGATTTTCCCCCACGATCAGCACAGAAAATGCTAAATGTCTCCAGACCCTGTTCTGGACCTGCTTATGAGACAAAATCTGAATATTTTGTGAAGTATGAACTCTACCCACATCCCGACACTCACTGTCCCCCACCAAGCATTTTATTCCGGCCGCATGAATATTTCCTTTATGCCCCTCTGGACATGTTCTGTCTTTGATCTCCTCAAAAACCACACAAAAATATTCCTGCAATGCTCACCACATACACACATTCACACACAACACATGTGCATATGTTTACTCTACAATGCAGGCCGGCAGTTGGCATTGGTGAGTCTTACAAAATGGTAAAGTGTGTGAACATGTTTCAGAAAGATTTGGTTTCATTGTTGAAACACAGGGGCTCACTTGTTGCAAAATGATCGCATGTGTATCCAAATGTGTTTTTTTTTACTCTCGAGTATGTTTACTGGTTCTGCTGCAAAATAAAGAAAAAAATAGCCAGATTTTACATCACGTTGCATGCTGAACTTATCAAAAATACAGTGAAAATGCACTATAAACATATTTAACACAGTCTTTGTGATTTATAGAGTAAACCTTTATGATTTCTTATTTAGTTTTATATGTATGCATTTGGCAGACGCTTTTATCCAAAGTGCATTCAAGCATTCCCAGGGACTCAAACCCATTACTTTGGCATTGCAAGCACCATTCTATGTTTAAACTACTATCTACTAACTGCTATCTACTAACTATTTAAATTAAATTAGATTTCATCATGAACCATTTTATAATTTAAGACGTTTATGAAGGGAAAAACTGTATAGTATATATTAGCCTACTGTATATTGGTAAACTTATTAACACTCTAGTAAAAATGCATTTCTGGGGCCGAATATGGGCTACAGGCCTGTTGTTTCAATACCCTGATTCACACCATAACGGTGGCTGCTAAAAAGAGAAATGTGACTTCAGTTTGAAAGCTTTGTGGCATTAGCTGTGTGTTTTGATGGTAGGATTTGTTTTGAAGAGAAGTGGGCTCTAATGTAAGACCTAAAAATGAATATGATACTCTGTTGTAATGTATGTGTCTGCAAAACTTGAAAGGTGTGTGTTTATGTTGGAAGCTGAGATTTATATGTGCGTGACTGAGTGAAAGTGTGATCGTGTATGTTTTGACTAGGCTAATATTTTGTGTATGGGAATTACGTGGCTTTGGAGCTGATCTTTGACCCTTTGTCCTATTTTCTGTAGGAGGGTCCCTAATGGAATAACTTGGTATTGTGAGTCTACTCTGTATGCATGTTTGATGAATGGCTGTATACGTTGTATGCATATTTGACTTCTGATCCCTCTGTCCTAAGTTTTTAAAAAAAGGAAGTGATTACATGTGAAATGGACAAGGCTGTGTGGGTAAACGTGCTTATCTGTAAGTCCCGTCATGAAGAATAGAATCTGTTATAATATGGCCTTTTTCTTCAGAAGACCTCAGAAATTAGTTTTCTCCCTCTATGGTGTGTTTGAATGTATATGACACGTATATAAATATAATATTTAACCTTAACCCGTTTCTCTCTCTCTCTCTCTCTCTCTTCTATAGATAGAAGAGGGAGGAAAGGCAGCTCAGTGTAAGAAGTTGAGAGTGGGGGATGAACTGGTGAACATTAACGGCTCTGCTCTCTACGGCTCCCGTCAAGAAGCTCTCATCCTCATCAAAGGTTCTTACAGGGTTCTCAAAATCGTCGTCCGAAGGTACGCAGACGGTACACACACATATGCTGACTTAAAGTGCAGTAACACTTTAAGTAAACTTCAGGTGCGGTCACATTCACTGTTGTGCATATGCTGTATGCCCAGCTTGCACATGCGCTTTTATTATTATTATTTTTTTGTTGTTGCACTAATTAGTTTGTCCACAATGTGGCAACATGTGCCTGGGCCATTGCTTCACAGTTGGAAAAGAAATGGATGAGACGGAACAAGAACAGCAACAAACTACTGACAGCAAAAGCAATAGATGCCCACATTGGCAAGTGCTTGTGTGAGGAGATATAAAGATACCCACAACTTTTTACGCTAACGTATGTGTGAGGGTGAATGATTCCAGTGGTGTGATGTAACGAAGTAATAATACTTCATTACAGTACTTGAGTATTTTTTGGGAGTATCTGTACTTTACATTTCCTCGAAGCATATTCGTTACTTACTACAAAACTGTCAGAAGAACACGGACTGCAGGAAAGCAGGTTTGACGAATCAGTGGTCTGGCGTTTGCAAGTTAGACTCCTAAAAAACACCTCATGTGCAAACAAGTGCGCGCACAACCGTGGATCATTCATTTTCCACTCAAGTTGAGTCTGGGGTGTGCGATATACAGTGTTGTTGTAATGATGTGCGATCTGACATTATCAAGTTGGCTATATCACCAAATCAAACACCGTGTGCATGCACGTGATTTATTAGTCTATTAATGCTCAAAATTCAAGGCATTCTAAATTGTAGACAGCAAAAATGCTTATGTATGCTTTTTATATTTGTATAATTTAATATAGTAAACTTAATCTATGTCACACAAAGAGTACCGTTTTTTTCTGTCATGCAGATATCAGCATGATAACAAATTTAATAATCATTTTATAGAAGTTCAGTAAAGTTAGCAATAAGTGACTTACATTTTAGACATAATATTGCTTGTTTTGTTCAATTTTGCCAACAAAAATAGTTCCAAACAAAGATCACAGCACTGTTTTGCGTCTCTGAGCAATGGTGTTTACTTATTGAATGAATCAGCTTTTTGAACGAATTGGTTGAATAAATGATTCAGTGATTCACTCATTAACAGTCAAATACTTTGTTCCTGAATGAATCAGTCGTTTGAATGAATCGGTTGAATCTCAATGACTCACTCATTAACAGTCACTTGCTGCCACCTACTGTCGGTTTTAATTTCACATTTCGACAATTTTTTCCCATGTTTACTTTGTTTCCATGATATTTCAAATATCACTATTCAACGTTTTATGTTAAAAACAAAACATTATTTATGCATCTGTAAGTGCAGTGTAAATGCATCAATGTCACCTCTGAGATACATAAACTGTGTAAATACATCTAAATGCTATTTCAGATGCAGATTCCAGAAATTATTTCTTATGTTGGAATGAAAGAAACTAAGTACTGGATGAAGTGCTTCTTATTCTTACCCAAAAATACAAAATGGAAGAAAGAGTTAAAACTGAACACAATCTTGCTACTCAAGCTGTGTATGAACATATATATATATATATATTTATTTATTTGCTTCTTTTCCATTTTGCATTCACTAGTACTTTTACTTTCAATACTTAAGTATGTTAAATATTTTTAAAAAATACTTTTTGTACTTAAGTACAATAAATATCACATACTTTAAGACTTTTACTCAAGTAATATTCTAAACGGTGACTTCAACTTCTACCAAAGTCATTTTCTGGTAAGATATCTGTACTTTATACACCACTGATGAGTTCCCAATGCAGATTTTGCGTTGGCTTCAGTTTGTCTTGCGAATTTGCTGCGTTGGTTTGAAAGTGACTTCTGTGTGAGCTGTGCTTCATACTGTACATCGCTACACTATTGACAGTAGACAAATAGGCCTTTTTTGCCTGCAAAATTTAGCTAAATTTCACTAATGTGATCACACACTTAGAGTGAATATGCCGTTTTGAGTTCTGAAACATCACACCTAGAGGATGTGACCAGGATATACAGGGAGAGCATCTGCACAGTGGTTAAATCCACCAGTAGCCTCTGATTATGTATCTGTTGTTTATTTTAGCTGGCGTGATGCGAGTTGACGTCAGCAGAGTTTGGCAGACAAGAGAGTTTCGTCACCTGTGACAGACAAAATTGACTGACACACCCTGTTTGACTCACTCAGAGTGGCCTGATGTAGGATCAGATCTTCTGATGTCAGTATAACTCCTAGTTATCAGAAAATACGTTTTTAAGCTGTATCCAGGTAAGTGTTAGTCCATTCAGTCTGACCAAAGGGGTTTTTCCCTTTCCAAGCATGTGGACAGGCAAAGCATCATGTGAAAGCATCTGTGTGCAGAGGTGCAGGCGAGGTCTCTAACCGAAACATACGCACAGTCAGAAACATTTGAAGAATTTTATTGATGAATTCGCATGCAGTTTGTGATAAATGTTTACCTTTTATTGCTAGTTTTATGTGTGCAGGGTAAATGAGGTGCTGTGTGTGTGTTGTTTTTGAGTCTGGACTGGACATCCAGTCGGCTGAGTCCAGCACATTCCAGTGTGTTGAGGCCTCACTGCATTAGCAGCTACCAGACAGCTGAGTGTACATCCCACACACCTCCCTCTGTCATCTTCTTTCTCCTCGCTCACGTATTTATACTGTCCTCCCTTCTTCCTGCTCTATAAACCCACATTCTCCTCTCTTAATTCTTTTAACCAACAGTTTCAATATTCTAAAGCTTTTATAACCTCATTTTCTCTATTAAATATTCTGAAACCTCATTCTAACATCTCCGTATTTTCTAGTCTCATTCTGTAGCCTCTCAAAATTTTGTAATCTGAATAATCTCATTATATATCCTCTCAAGAGTTTATCATTTTAAAACCTCTCAACATTCTATAACCTTATTCTGTAGCTTCTTAAAATTATGTAGGCTGTATAACATTATTCTATATGCTCTAAAAAGTTTGTCACTTTAAAACCACTCAACATTCTATAATCTCTGTAGGTTAATTCTATTATGAGATATTCTGTCATCAAAATTCTATGTAACCATTGTAACAAAATTCTCTTGTCATTTTGTGAAATTTTAGATAAAATTGTATAGATTTTTTTATATATGCCATTACATATTGTCTAAAATTTTAGTTTTAATCTCTAATAACCTCATTCTCGAAACACTAAGAATTCTGTAGCATGTATAACCTTTTTTTAAATCAACAACAGTTTCTGCAAGACTTTTATAACCTCACACTAGCCTATAGATTCAATATTCTTAAACTTCGATGACCTAATTTTATAAACTTTACCTTCATTCTCAATCTCTCAACATCCTTTAAGCTCTTGACATTCTGTAGTTATCTTATCTGTAGTAAATAAACTAATCTAATATGCTGTTTATTTTTGTCCAAGCCCTCACTCAAAAGATTCTCAAAACACTAATTCTCACGAGATTTTTCACAAAACATAACCTACTTGAGTGCACTTAAAGTATAAGATTTTGGAATTACAGTCACAGACTGTTAAAATACTTTGTCAAAGAAAAACTGAACTTTTAAACCTCCAGGTTTAGGATAGCCATCCAAACACCAGCTCTGCAGAAGCTAGCCACAGAGTCAGAGGTTCAGGAGTGAGGAGAGCGGGAGAGGAGAGGGGTGTAGAGATGTAAAAAATCCTTTTCTTTTTACATCCATTTATTTGGCGGCAAGTCAGAAACGCTGCAGTCTTAGTGTTATTACCCTGCCTGTGGTTTCCCTCTTGCTGTGGTTTTCTAGGCAGCACATGCTACTCTCTTTGTGTGTGTGTGTGTGTGTGTGTGTGTGTGTGTGTGTGTGTTTTGTATTCTTTTGTTTGTGGGCTTGTTACACCAGCGGGACACCTTCAAGGCATTAGATTTGGCTGTTCTGTGTGGATAGACCATCACTGTATATTTTGTCTTTTTGCATGCAGCCTGTTTTTGTATAAAGCTAATGCGTTGGCTTTGTTAGAATCCATGTTTATTCATACTTGGCAATCAATCTAACATAGGCAGAGCTGTGTCATTTAAGGCCAATGCAGTTGCCACCATGTTTTAAATCGTGTGTCTGTATTATGAGAGCATTCAAACAGCTTTGCCGACTTTTCATAGTCACAGTTCCTCACCTTTAACCTTTAGCAAAAAACGCAAAATTTACCCTTTTACAACATCTAAAAAGGTGAAGAGTTGTATGAGTTTTCTGCGGTTATTTTGTGTGTGAAAAAGATATTCTTCATAGCTGATTTATAGCTGAAAGAATGGACTTATGGACGCTAGAGGGCGTATAATCAAAATAAACAAAGAGGCAAAGGCGTAGTTTGATGACGGAGTGTGGAATCATGGGAGTTGTCGTCTTCATCCCCACAGCCGAAGCAATCTGATGGGACTCGGGCAGAAATCATGTTCATAGATGAGCTAATGATTTATTAACGTAGTAGAATGAAGCAGGGTGAGGCTGAAAGCCGTCAAAGTGAAACGAGGCCACTGAACGAGCATGACACACGGCTCGAAAGCAGTGGAGCTTTTATTATCCCACAGTCGACCGCTTCCGCTCCTTCCGGTCGTGCGTATGTGGGGGGAAAAAAGCAGCACTGTTTTATCGTACTAGATACATTTGAAAATTCTGTTATAATGCTACTCTGTGCAGTCGTCACCGGTCTATTAAATATATGAATGTTTATATTTATAAATATATTAAACATTTAATATGTTGTGCATAATGCACAACATATTAAAGCACTTTGGTGTTTCCATGTTTTCTACAAAACAAAACCGGAAATCGAGGGTTTGTGACGTCATTGGCAGGCGACACAATGACACTATAGACACGGTCCGTGTCACTAGTTATAATTGCTTATTTCTCTGGATTTAAACATTCTTCGAAACATTTGGGATAATGTAAGTACACAAGTCAGCAAAGTGGTTTTTGGATATTTTAATAAAAAAATCTTACATGTTGTGCCTTTAAGTATGACTGTGAATGTGAGGTTTTTGTAATAGTGTGTGTGTGTTCCTCTTTGGACGTCAGTAAAGATCACATGCATCACGCAGGGCTCATTTCCACCTCCATTTAAAGGCCAAGGAATGTATGACTATTCAGTTAGCACCAAGATAGAGATGTTTGTGTGTTTGTGTTTATGTTTTATGCCAATCTCCCTGTCAATCATTAGAAATTGACCTGAAATTGGGTTTTTGCAGGGTGGAACATCTGATCTAACATCGCAGTATTCCAAAAGTATAAAAATACACAGCATGCATAAATATTGTGTAATTGTACAAGACATTATTCAAAGACCCTCATACCTATGCTAAAATGTACCTCTAGTACTTCTTTTGTAATAAAAATAACTCATAAATGTGATGTCAGTTTAATGTTGTTGTTGTTTTTTCGCATTTTAATTAAGATTAATTTAATGTAATTACATTTTAAAAAATTTAAGACTTATTGGGTCCCCCCTGGAGGTTTGCTGAGGCCTCCTAAAGGGTCCTGGTCCCCTGGTTGAGATCTGGTGTAAAAAAAACAAAAACATTTTAAATGACAAAATTGTTTTATTGATATTTTTCAGTAATGACATATTTTTTAAACAGAGCTGTTGTGCCCCCGGCTTCTCTTTGTGAATGGGAAGGAGTGCTGTACGGTTAAAGGATGTTTGTGGTGTGCCGTGTCCAGAGACACACTGTATTGTTTTCCTGCACACACACACTTTCTATTGTTCAGCAGCAGCTGTCTGGAATGCAGATTTCATGCACTTTGTTCACTGGACCCAAACTTTTAATTGCACACATTAGTTCAGTGTTTGTGTCTTCACCTTTTGAGTTGCGTACATGTCTAGTTATTTTAAAGTATGAACATGTATATTCTACACACCGAAAGAAAGTACACCCTATCTATCGAGGTTATCTAAACTTGATGTGCTCTGCCTGGAGGAGTGGTGCCATCTTGGCACAGAGAACAGTGTGCTTCTGAAATTTCTGGATGTCTGGTTCCTCCTAGTTGCTACTCCCACTTCCTGTTACACATGCTGACTGTAATAGCAGCTTTAGGAGCTGGGCTGGGAACCATGGGACAGAAATGTTTATTTACAGCAAATAACCATTGTCAGGGGCGGAAGAACTGTTTTAAAATGTGTATTTTGTCCCTGTCTCAAGTCAAGTTTGAAGCGCAGACCATATTTGGACTGTAAATATGTAGTTTAAAGATATTCAGATTCCCAAACACACATGTTCAGACTTAAAGGAAGCGTAGGTCTTCACAGCAAAGACATGTGAGGGAGGGAAGTGTTGCTGTCTTGCTTTAGCATATCCGTCTGGATTTATTGAGGAATTGGCACATTGGTTCTACACCATTTGCCAGAGAAAACTATTGCACTAGATTATCCATACATAACAGCATTAATCTTAAAAATGATTTGTGTAATTTCTGACCTGCAAGTGGTACCAAAGGCAATTGCAAAAATAATTACCCAAATTTGATTTCATAAAGGGACAGCTTAGATATAGAAGAAAACCTTTTCTTGTCCATACAATGAAACCCAGTGGGGTCCGATGTTGTTTGGACCCCAGCATCCTTCAAAATATCTTCTTTTGTTTTTCATAGAAGAAAGTCTTGAAACAACATGAAGGGGAATAAATGATGGTAGAATTTTCAAAATTCCCTTTAAACCACTTGCGTCTTTGGTTGAGCCACAAATTGACGTCCATGTTGGGCTGCTCAGTCAAACAAGAATTTTTTGAAAGCACCACAGTGTTCACACTATTGGGATAAGGAAAAAAAGTGATAAATTACACACATTACATTTGAACATTACCAATTTTCCATGTCTTAGCATTTTTGGTAGAGTTTAAATAGAAAAAGAGAAGTTAATAAATGACATATTTAGCCATGTGCAATTCACATTACAGTGGCTGTAATCTACTGTAAGAAGCCAACTGGCCAAATGCTGATATTAAAGTTGTAAGCACCACTGCTCTCATGAGGAAATAAAGTGTGTAGAGCCACTTCAGTCATCATTTATCAAAGGTTGCCTGGTCTCTCTGGGAGAAACCCCAGTTGCACTTCACTTTATGAGTTTACGATCTTGTGGTTTGGAGAGGCCGTGGGGGAGAGTTATGAAGAACAGAGATAGCAAACTCAGGAAGCTTCTAGAAAAAGCAGTCTTATGGTAAGACCTTGCCCGCTGCGCTAAGGAACAAGAAAGAACAAAGGAGACTCAATGGCAAAACAATGGACATTCCTTGCATTCCCAAGACCACCACCCCCCTCCTGACTTTCCACATATTAGGAACAAAACTCTTAAGACCTTTCAGATTCCAAAACTTTCAACATGCCTGCCAACCACACTGTATGGTGTGGTGTTAGTGTATAACATGTTTTTGATCAGATTTCTATGCACAGAATTTATAGTATACGGCCCTCTTTGTTGTCTTTTGTTAAGTGCACAGGAAGGATTTCTGTACATGTACAGTATATATTAGGGATGCACTGATTTTAATGTGTTGGCTGATACTAAAATTCTATGTTTTTTTTTGTCTAAATAAATAAGATAATACAATAAAAACTAATATCAAGCTTTAGGCATCACAGCATTATAGAAGCATTTATTGTGTTAATAAATTATTAGTGTTTGTAAAGATTAACTTTTCCTTTGCTGTCATATAATGCCCACTTAAAATAGGATAAATGAGCATGCACAATTAAATATCCAGCAAAAATCAATATGGTTTGGAATGAGTAATTAGTGAATGGTGTGTGAGTCTTATATTTCAATGGTAATGGACAAAGCAGACATGTTCCTTTTCCTGGAACGTGTCAAGTGATCAATCCAGACAGTTCTCCATGTGTTGGTTTGTCCTTTGGGATTGCATTACAGTCCCAATCTATTTATATAGATTGTAAAGCAGTCGGAACGACTGTGCACATTGAAATGGCTTCTTTTTTTATTAACAGGCCCAGTACCCCAGAGTGCCACACAATAGTTTGCCTTCTCTCATCATGGTAAAACCATTCTGTGATATAACTCTGGTCATATGGACAAGATGTAGGCCATCAGTTAGATTAACTTCTGTTCAGTTGCCAGGGAAAGTGTAAACAAACTGTGGTGTTATCATTGGTGTAAACTGTGAAGCCTTGTGAACTGCTGAGCATCTGTTTTAACATCTGTTGTTATCATTTTTGTTAAGACTGAGTCGGCAGACTTCCATACTTTTATTCATTCACTTTATGCTCTTATGATTAAAGGGCATGGGGGTCATGACCTGGCACATCTCTCTGTTTTGTTTTTCTGTCCAAAGTAGTTCGGAAGGGTTTTATGTGGCTGATAAGCTTTTAGGCCAAGATGCATTTTTACATGCATTCTTTCCCCTTAGAAAGTACTTTAAAATCAGAGTGAAAGAGAATCCAAAATAACAAACAAGCTATTGTGCTGGAGAGCACAGCTCATGGCTGCTCCCTTCCTGGCCTGGCTTTTTCGTTGTGGCCGTATTGGTAAAAGCCTGGGTGATTACATGGAATGCAGCCTGTGCGTCTCACTCGCTGTTTTCGGGAAGCGGGCAACCAGAGAACAAACGATGCTAATTGCATGGATTGAAAGCAGTGAGAGGTGTGTGTGTGTGTTTTATTTTATTTTAATGACCTTGTTGCATATGATTTATATAGGCTTCAAGCTAATAGTTAATTTGAGGTGAACGGTCCATTTGATTTAGGGACATACACATGGAAGAAACATGGTACAAAGTTTAAAAATACTTAGTAGTACCAGTACTATGAAACAATTTTATACTTTGTTAGCACAAAGAAATTGAAATGACAGAGAATAATATGGTTTAGTTATTACATTACAATCTGCTTTACAATCTAAATAAATGCAATATTCTTGATCAGTGTGTTATTCTTGAATAAGGTACTAATTATATATGGACATGGTAAGTTAAGTATCCCCTGCAGTAAGACCGAGAGGACTGCTAACTATGGATTTAACAATTACCGGTTTGATGATAAATCATGATAAAATTCCCCACGGTTAGTATTACCGTTTCATATTTTAATTATCATTAAAACCGTATTAGATTACTGCGAAATGAACAACTCACGATAAATAAATACTGTCCAGCATAAAGCACAGTTTTAAGTAACCGTCTCACATGCGCACAGCACGCAGAGTAGTTTCGTTTTGAGTGAAAACAGGGCGGAAAGTGCTAAGGGAATTATACAAATGAATATATGAATTAATTTATTATATGAATGTACCTCTGAGGGTTCTGACTGTCTTCAGAAACGATTCGATGGCATTTTGTTTTCATCTTCACTCCATGTAATACCTAAAGGAAGTGTTCTTAATCGCAATACTGCTTTGTCCACGGAGTTTACGGGAAACCGCTCTAATTCAGCTTTTCCATAAGCGCCACCTGCTGCCAGCGAGTGGATTTACAGAGACTTATATTTACATTCAGCCTGTGTGCAGTTTCTGTCTGGCCAAAAATGCACCGAATTTGCATGCCCTGCAGTAAATTTTGACTGGTTGATGAAAACAAGCTTATGTAGACTCTACACATTTAAACAATTCAGATAAGTTATCTAGAATTATTTATGGAACAGATAAAATACATATAATCATTTATTAATCAATTATCATTTTGACATATCTTTCCTTTTTTTTAAAGGCTGAAATGTGAGGTTTCCCTTATTATGAAACTTTTTCAAAGCTTTATTTGAACATTTACATTAGATATTTCAACATGCTATTAAACTGTTGTCATTTAAAATCCGAACATCATTGGTAATGTTATTGTTTTAGTGATTATGCAAACAAAAAGTCATTGTATTTGTTGTTTGTTGATTTTTAAATATAAAAATTGGTGAATTGATTTATGTGTCAGTACTTTTTTAACATCTCCAGCACATTTGAACAATACCGTGATAATACTGACAACCGTGATAATTTTGGTCACTATAACCGTGATAAGAAATTGTCATACCGTTACATCCCTACTGCTAACAGACTAATTGTATGTTTGGGTGTTAAAAAACAAAAGAGAGAGTACAGCATGCAGGACTACTGACTCATGCATGTCACCAGTGTTTCAATAACCAGTGACATCATACCTAAAGATATCATCAGTTTGTGGTTTAACCACCCTTCTTTCCTATCACTCACGATCTTAGTTACTATAAAGAATTTTTATGTAAATTTAACATGCTAGCATAACAGAAACAATAATGATTTTGAAATGGACTCACTTAAGGGCTTTACCCTGGTTGAATGGCTTTTTAAACATTTTAAGTAATGTTCCATACAGTTGTGCAGTACTACCCACAAATCTGTGGTGTCAAAGATATGCTGCGTCCCAATTTGCCTACTCATACTATGGCCTAAAAGTATGTTCTCTTTTGTGAAGAAAACACTTTGGAGTGTGTAACAGAAGGACATCCTGTCACTATGTAGTGGTCAATTATCTTGTCACAGTACACACTCCATATTTCAGTTCACTTAATTTATGCTACAATTATTCATAACATATGGATGCTATGTGACTTGGGATGCAGTAGTACGGTGTGACACGATGTGGAGCTACAGTGTTGGAATGTCTGTGAAAAATGTATAAAAATGTCACACAGTGACTTGTGAAATGAGCATTTTTTTTTGCTGTGTTTTTGAGAAAACAACAACCAGTGAGGATCTACATACCAACATTTGCACAGATGGACAAAACAGGTCACAGACCTGTTATTAAAAAAAGGTTGTGTGCTCGTCATGCACTGTATTTGTCCAGTCAAAGTTTTAAAACTCATAAAAAGGCAATCATGAGTAATCAAGGGAAATATTACAATGGCAGTTTAGTTACCAACATTCTTCAAAGACACAAGGGTAAATACATAATGACAGAATTTATCATTTGTGGGAAAACTATCCCTTTAAAATTGACCTTGGGTTAACAGTCTCAACTGAAGAACCCATTAGTGGGAGGTTGCGCTCCATTGTAATTTGTCCTATACACATGATTACTGGGTTTTTCTTGTATTGTCAGTGTTGTAGTTGTTAATCAGACTGACCCCATTCTGACTTTCATCAGCCCTGCTGATTAGAGCAGGAAAAGCTGTTTATTAAGCACAGCTGATGTGAGTTAAACTTCATTTTATTCTCTCTGTCTCTCAGGCAGTTGCTGGAATATAACAAAACACACACTGTTGCCTCTCAGATGTGCTTTGCATTGTTGTACTTTCTTCACTATTGAAAAGAGTGACCGCGACAATGCACCGTTTCAATCATTTAGTCTTATTCCTCCAATTTGTTTAAAAAACAAAAGAGAGAGTACAGCATGCAGGACTACTGACTCATGCATGTCACCAGTGTTTCAATAACCAGTGACATCATACCTAAAGATATCATCAGTTTGTGGTTTAACCACCCTTCTTTCCTATCACTCACGATCTTAGTTACTATAAAGAATTTTTATGTAAATTTAACATGCTAGCATAACAGAAACAATAATGATTTTGAAATGGACTCACTTAAGGGCTTTACCCTGGTTGAATGGCTTTTTAAACATTTTAAGTAATGTTCCATACAGTTGTGCAGTACTACCCACAAATCTGTGGTGTCAAAGATATGCTGCGTCCCAATTTGCCTACTCATACTATGGCCTAAAAGTATGTTCTCTTTTGTGAAGAAAACACTTTGGAGTGTGTAACAGAAGGACATCCTGTCACTATGTAGTGGTCAATTATCTTGTCACAGTACACACTCCATATTTCAGTTCACTTAATTTATGCTACAATTATTCATAACATATGGATGCTATGTGACTTGGGATGCAGTAGTACGGTGTGACACGATGTGGAGCTACAGTGTTGGAATGTCTGTGAAAAATGTATAAAAATGTCACACAGTGACTTGTGAAATGAGCATTTTTTTTTGCTGTGTTTTTGAGAAAACAACAACCAGTGAGGATCTACATACCAACATTTGCACAGATGGACAAAACAGGTCACAGACCTGTTATTAAAAAAAGGTTGTGTGCTCGTCATGCACTGTATTTGTCCAGTCAAAGTTTTAAAACTCATAAAAAGGCAATCATGAGTAATCAAGGGAAATATTACAATGGCAGTTTAGTTACCAACATTCTTCAAAGACACAAGGGTAAATACATAATGACAGAATTTATCATTTGTGGGAAAACTATCCCTTTAAAATTGACCTTGGGTTAACAGTCTCAACTGAAGAACCCATTAGTGGGAGGTTGCGCTCCATTGTAATTTGTCCTATACACATGATTACTGGGTTTTTCTTGTATTGTCAGTGTTGTAGTTGTTAATCAGACTGACCCCATTCTGACTTTCATCAGCCCTGCTGATTAGAGCAGGAAAAGCTGTTTATTAAGCACAGCTGATGTGAGTTAAACTTCATTTTATTCTCTCTGTCTCTCAGGCAGTTGCTGGAATATAACAAAACACACACTGTTGCCTCTCAGATGTGCTTTGCATTGTTGTACTTTCTTCACTATTGAAAAGAGTGACCGCGACAATGCACCGTTTCAATCATTTAGTCTTATTCCTCCAATTTGTTCTCTCTCTCTCTCTCTCTCTCTCTCTCTCTCTCTCTCTCTCTCTCTCTCCACACCCCTCACTCTCTCACCACTACTGGCTGAAATTGACTGCTCTCCCAGGGAGACAGGAAGCGGCCCTCACATTTTCCCCCCATTCAAACAATAATAGGAGAGAACGCTAGGTATTATTTTAGCAGTGGCTTGCTGCTTTATCTCCCCCAAACATAGTTTCCTCTCCGTCTGAGCACCGCTTCCTCTCCTCCTAATGTCATTAGAGCGAGTGAGTGGGAGGTTGTGTGTGTGTGTGTGTGTGTGAGTGAGAGAGAATAAGCCCTTTAGTGGACTGAATGTTTGGTCTTCAGTTGTGACTTGAAATATTGAGAGAGAGAGAGCTGCTGTTTGAGAGGGGAAGTGGGGGGAGTGTTTGTCTGATAATTTTTTCCTGGACTAGGAATCTGGTCAGAGCCTCAGACTGCCTCATGACAGCTAAATGACCGCCAACCTTCACTCATATGAGCGTTGAAGCCATTAGGGTCCTGATAAAGACTGACCACTCACAGCAGACACAGACCTCAGGGTTGTCCTTTGACTTGAAACGTCTACTGATGGATTAGACCTGAACTTCACCTTGAAGCTGAAGCTGAACCATCTTGGATTGGATTCATCTCAGAATATTTCTCTTATACTGTGAGAACATCTGGAGTTGTCTGAAGTGTTGTGAGTAACTCAAGACATTTTGTGAAGACTACTGCAGAGAGAACAAGAAAGGGAATGCAGGAGAGAAACTCTTTGTTCTGAACACAATATGAGTAGCGACACAGTTCCTCAGTCTTTACCTCACGACGCCTGTCAGAAACAGCCGCCCAGTCCTCAGGTTCCTGCCTCTCTGCAGTCCTCTGAGCATTTCTATAGCAACAGTACCACCAACATCCAAAAGCCTTGCTCAGCGTTCCACCCAGTGTTGAATAAGAATTAAACTGTTTATTCTCTATTTGAGCTGTTATTTTAAGACTCTTTGGTATAGTGCCATGTAGATGGGAATGAGACTGTTTTCAGTCTTTAGTGCAGACTTATTTTAATATTAGCATTTATGCAGGATATTTTGAAATTGGGCTTTTTCAGAGTCCCAAAAGGCCAAATGTTGGCCAGAACTGTACAAAAACATAAATTGGCTCTAATACAACAGGAAGATTGAATATGTATTCTATCTCATGTCACTGGTCTCAATGCATGTCCTTTGGTTTTTAAAAGTGTTCTCAGAGTTTCATCTTAAAACATGAATTGATAGTCTAACTGATCTCTGGGCCATTTTTAGTCTAATGCTTGAGGGCAAATTCAGGTGAATTCGAGAGGGTATTTTTCTTGTAGTGGAATCAAGCCCATGTCCTCTGGATGAGAATTAGAGATACTATTCACTGTACTGACTCCCCTTACAGTTCTCAGAACAGAATGTTTTTGAACACCTATCAATTATTTTGGCGGTTATCAGATATGCTCATGGTGAGCTTTTAAAAAATCTGGGCTATAGACAGTTGGCACAACAGCAGTGGGAATGAAACTGAATTTGTATGGTTATTTAAGAGCAAAAGCTCCTTTAGTGTACCTCCTATAGTACCCTTTTGAAAGAGGCATTTAAATGCCAGGGCTGTTATCACCTAGAGTAGGTTGTTTCAGATGCACCATATGCTAAAGAACAGATCAGCAGACAGGTGAAAGGTATAAAGTTCCATAAATCATCAGTGTAGTGTTTTTATCTATTTACCTTGTTGCTTTTTTTTGTAGTTTTTAGTTGTAGCAGTTAGTAGTAGTTTTTAGTTTTTTTTTTTTTGTGGTAGGTTTGGGTAAAAACCTACTACACAATGTTTTTTTTCCCCGGTTAATTTGATTAAATCATATTTTATTTATTGTTTAATTTATATTTAATATTTAAATATATGGCAAATATATTTTACAGGCCCACCCTGTGCAGGAACAAGCAAAAAAACTAAACAGAAATTTCAGCTTAACAGAGAGGTAAGGTTTCTGCTTTTAACTCTCAATAGATTAACTTACTCTTATTGTCATATTTTGTATGTTTTACTTATTTACCTATGGTTATTGACAAACCATTACTTATTAGAAGTATAGCATAACATTTCTTATTCCACAGGGACTACTCAAGGTGTAGGAGAGACTCCAAGACAGGAGAGGGTGCTGCTGTTCCTAGCTTCATAGGTCAAGGTGGCAACAGCATGACAGGTGGCCGCACTGAAGAGCATCTTTTTTCACCCCTTAGAAACCGTGCTATGTCAGAAAATGACATTCGTGTGGACGCACACAATTTTCATAATCACACCAATGTCACACCAAGCAGAATGCGTGCGTCCACTCTTAGTGACCTGGATGAGAATGGAGTATGTGTAGGTGAAGTAAAGAAGAAAAAAGGGCCTCCGCCACCTCGTCCACCGCCCCCAAAATGGGATCAATTCCACAAGAGACGGGTATCCCAACATAACCTCTTCTCCTCCCCGCCACTTTATTCCTCTCCCTCTTCCTCTCCACCTCGACCACAGCCGTGCACATCCCAGCCCCCCGGTGTGTCTGAAATGACACGTCAGCGCTCCTATAGTCTTCCTCCGAGGGAGGTCTCGGAGAGCCATCACTGCTGCAGTCAGGAGTACTCGGCGGCTCCCCTCAGCCCTGCTTTTACACGTCGGGCCTTTAAACCTGTAGCCCTGCCCCCAAGAGAGAGAGACATGAGAAGGGAACTTCATCAACCTTTGCCGCAGCCTGAACCATGCACAAGGTAAAACATACCTTCCAAAACACACGTATGACATACAAGACTTATTCATGGTATTCGTGTTGATTTCATAACAAACCATTTTCAAAAAAACTTTTAACGACTGCTAAAAATATATGGGGTGTAACCATTAAATAAAAAGTAAAAACATGTTATCTTTACAGTTTGAATACATGAAAGAACACATTTCCATCATTAATTTACAAAAAGGTTTTTAAATATATTTCCAAGTAAAAAGTATTCTTACAAAAATAATTAATTATTTCCTGGTTTTTATTCTGCATGTTGATTGGACCAGAATACTTTAAGTTTTTTGAGTATTAATAATCAGTAAAAATAATAATACAAGATTATGGCAAACTACTAAAGTTAAGAGTTTTTTTTTTCTTCATTATGATACCAAGACACTTGTATCATACTGAATTTTGAATTTTTATAAAAATTTTACCAATGTTGAAAATAGCTGTGCTGCTAAATGTTTTTGTGGAAACGGTTGTACATTTTTTTCAGGATTCTTTGATGAACAGAACGTTCAAAAGAACAGCACTTATTTTAAATAGAATTGTAACATTATAATCGTTTAAACTGTTAGTTTTGATCAATTTCATGCATCCTTACTGACCCTAAACTTTTGAATGGTAGTGAATGAATTACATTTTTAATGTACTTTTGAATAAATTCCCACCATGTCTGCCCTATTTTAGAATACCTGTCCATAATGCTGCAGTGTCAGATGAGCCTAGAGTCACACTGGTGAAGCCCATCTTTTTTGAGCATCGAGCTGAGTGGGACCGGTCCAGTCCTCATTACCCTCCACTGGGCACTACCAGGCCTCTTGAAGTCCCAGAGAACAGTTTGTCATCTGCACCCGTGTGTCCAGAATCCTACTTCTCCATGAACAACTCCCACTTGCTGCCCCATCAAGCAGGCTTCCCTGGAACAGCCCACAAAAAGCAGATTATTTCCTCCCGCAGTCCCAGCAGTATTGAAGATGGAAACCAGCCCCTGGAGACAGACATAGATGAGATCTGTGAGAATGAGCGGTTAGGAGAAATTGACAGGAGGGAAGGAGAGCACAGGATGGAGCTGCAGGGTTTTGCTCGACCAGTTATGGTGCTGGAGACAGACATTGACAACATGCCTGAGGAAGGGGCTCCATCAGCGAGAAACATTAGAGGGCCGAGGGGTGCTTTGGTGGACTCCATTCTAGAGGATGATTATGGTTTATCTAGGAAAGAGCTGATAGGAGAGTTATTTCCACACAGTGTAAATACAGAGACGGGTGGAGAGAGCTGGAGAGGAGGCCACCCAATCAGTGGAGGAACGTTTGAGAGGTACGGCAATCTAATACTATTTCAGTCTTTCTGATTCGAAATTTCATGTTTTAATTAATGTGTTACTTGCCGTTTCTTTGTAATTATTTTTTACTAGCACTTTCGGAGTGAAAATTGTGAAAAAGTAAACTGTACATGAATTTTTAGTGTATTCTATTCTGTTATATCAGAAAGACTGTTACAGCGCCTCCACCTTCACCTCCATTATTTTGCTTCTGAATTATTCATGACTCTTTCCTAGGCCCTCTAGACTGGGAATATCCATGGCACAAGTTTCACGATCAACCTGTTATGATACGTCAGCTGACAACCCGCAACTTCTTGCCAGGATTCGAGAGATCTCAGACAGGAAAGAGGAGGAGGAAGAGCTCAATTATAAGGTGAAAGATTCAGAAATGTATGGCTAGCTTATTTCATGCTTTGTAATTTATTCCTATGATATGCACTTTCAGCAGCCGTTACTTCAGTCTTCAGTGTCATATGACCTTTCAGAAATCATTCTAATATGCTGATTTGGTGCTCAAGGAACATTTTTTATTATTGTCAATGTTGAAAATAGTTGTGCTGCTTAATTTTTTTGTGGAAACGCGATACTTTTTTTTAAAGATTCTTTGATGAATAGAAAGTTGAAAAGAACTGTATTTATTTTAAATAGGATTTAATTTTTTTAAATAAGTAAATAAATAAAACGTACTGACCCCAAACTTTTGAATGGTAGTGTATATATGCCACTTCTCATAGTAAATGTTTACACTTACAGAAGCAGCTGATGGAGAGCCTTCGTAAAAAGCTGGGTGTCCTTCGTGAGGCACAGAGGGGCCTGCAAGAGGATATCCGCGCCAACACTCAGCTGGGAGAGGAAGTGGAGAGCCTGGTGCTCGCTATCTGCAAGCCCAACGAGGTGGACAAGTACCGTATGTTCATTGGTGACCTAGACAAGGTGACCAGCCTGCTGTTGTCTCTTTCTGGGAGACTGATCCGAGTAGAAAGTGCCTTGGACTGTGTGGACCCAGAGACTGGCCACCACGGGAGGGTGAGGATATATGTAGTCGCAAAACGTAATCTATATTATTGCCCAGCGATATATTAAAATTTGGATATATAATACATCCAACTTCATCTGCATACATACAGTATATACCTTAGTCAGGTTAGATGGCATATTGAATTGAACGTAGATGAAAACGAGGCTGTGAGAGATAGACTTACTGTCTTTACAATGGCATGCACTGTATAAACTGTTTTATGGAGTTTTGTCTACTGAAAGTTTTTCTTTTCATCAGTTGAACAATCAGGATGTCATTGAACAACAGTACAATCAATTGAACACACTGTACTTCTGTCCTTCACAGCCTTGTTTCCTGTCAAAAATATGATGCTACCCTGACTAAGGTCTTTTACGTATAGCTATATATATATCAGACGTATATATAATATATATATATATACCGTATATATAATATAGCAAATCTCAACAGCTTGATTGCCTGTATCGTTGCAAAATGTAAACTGTATTGTCGCCCAGCTCTAATCTGTGAAATTTGACTATAAGGCATGAAGATGTTATAAACATTAACATCATAATTTTCTGTAAAGCGGCTTTAAAATATTGTGTATTGTGAAAAGCACTACACAAATAAATTAGACCTCGAGTTTTTATCCTTCTGCATGTTTGATTTGCTTAGCATTTTATTCTTATTCTCTCTGTCTCTCTCGCTCTTTCTGTCATGTTATAGCTACAACTTCTGGAAAAGAAGCAGCAGCTGCTGGTGCAGATGGGAGAGGCTCAGGAGCTCAAGGAGCACGTGGACCGGCGTGAGCAGGCGGTTGGCAAGGTGCTGGAATGTTGCCTGACCCCAGAACAGATGCGTGACTACAGTCACTTTGTGAAGATGAAAGCAGCCCTACTGGTAGAGCAGAGGCAACTGGATGACAAGATCAGGCTCGGAGAGGAGCAGCTCAGGGGACTTCGAGAGAGCCTGGGGCTGGGGTTCGGGATGGGGTACGGGCAGTACTGAGAAGTGCTGAATGAGTGTATGTATAACAGGATTTGAGATGGACCGAAAAGACCTTGAACTGCAGTATGTTTTAAAGAATGAACATTACATTGATGTGATAATTGAGTACAGAAAAGCACAACTAACTACCACAAACTGATGTTCAGTTCGATTCAAAAACACTACATCACTACTTGAAGTTGTCTGTTAGGACTTCAGCTGCACTAATAACCGTTCGGTAAAGTTATTTTGAGCTTACTCAGTTAACATCTAACACCGCCAAAGAACGCACGTGTGCATATACTTCTCATTGAATACAGCAGGGGGAGTGTCCATGCACTGCTATTTATTTATTTATGTGTGTATATATTCATACACACAATATATATATATTAATCAGTAAATTAGAGAATTCTGGTTTCAAGGTCACATTGCTTTAATAATTTACAGCCTCACGTTCCAATTTCATTCCGTTCTTTGGCATGTTAAACGTTATTGTTCCTTTTAAAATGTATTGATTTGTTAAGTATTTGTATGTACATTAAAAACCTGTACATAGTGGATGCTGATGTGCATCTTTAAGTCACAGAAGTTTCATTCTGTTGTAACTGGAACTTTTCTTTAATGAAACATTGTGGCGTATTATTGCAGCGTTTTCAAAAGGGGCCATTTATACTTGCTTTTTTATATTCAGTATGCCTTATAATACTTGCTACACTTTTCTCAGATAGTTATTATTGCCAAAGATAAAATGTATGTCTACATAAGAATATAAATGTGCTATGCCTGTTTTGAGAAATGACATGCATAAATGTCTTGAGAAGATCAGCCTTGCTTTACCAAACCTCTTATATTGACATGTTTTTTGAATAAGAGTTTTTAGTTAATTGAGATGCACTGTTTAACCTTTATGTATCATCTCAGAAAATGGCCAAAAACTGGACATTTCTTTAGAAGGAAGGAGAATGCTGCTTTGTTGACCATTTACTGCCTTGAAAGTCTTGTCTTTTTTTTTTATATATAGCAAAACCAGCTTGAGATGAAGAATAAGGAGAGACAAAGAAGATTGAGATAAAGTTGATTTGTATTTGAAGGGCTTGTTGTACAGGAACAAGGAATTAATGAATGTATGCATTTGGTTTCAGAATTGCAGATTAAAAAGGTAAATGTGCCTTTGTGCTTATTTTTGCTGTTTTATTTTTTAGCTTCACTCTGTATAAAATGAATGGTTTAATAACTATAAACTACTCTTGTTCATTTGTGTTGTATCATACATTGTAAACAGCATAGCGCTGAAGATGAAAGGAAATACTTGGTCTATTGATAATTTTCCTCTTTTGATTGAAAAGATTCATTGTATAACATGTACAATTAAAACAATATATTATCAGGGTTAAGCCTTTGTTTTTACAAGTTATATATATTTTTTATGTAGTTTAAGAGCGTTTTATTCCGATACTATTAAAATGTTTTGCTAATTTACCTCAAACTGAGAGACTAAAGAGTATTTGTACTTTTAAAAATACATCAACTAATTGTGACCTAAAAACGTTAATGTTTTAGCATGAATAATCATTCTAATGTTTGAGGTGTGACACATGTGTGACTTAATAGATTAATTGTCGAAACGTTACGTAACTAATAATTAACGAGGGTGTTGATTGGATAGAAGGTATTAAAACTACTTGGCGGGAAACGTAAAAGTAAATAAAACGTGCAGGCATTGTGTTTTTGATTCTTAGTGCTGGCTTACAAGCGGCTACATGATGTTTTGCTTTGTACGAGTACTGAAAAGCACAAGCTTTACACCCAGACAAAGTGTATTAACCCAGCGTTTCTACATTGTTCATTTGTGTTGTATCATACATTGTAAACAGCATAGCGCTGAAGATGAAAGGAAATACTTGGTCTATTGATAATTTTCCTCTTTTGATTGAAAAGATTCATTGTATAACATGTACAATTAAAACAATATATTATCAGGGTTAAGCCTTTGTTTTTACAAGTTATATATTTTTTTATGTAGTTTAAGAGCGTTTTATTCCGATACTATTAAAATTTTTTGCTAATTTACCTCAAACTGAGAGACTAAAGAGTATTTGTACTTTTAAAAATACATCAACTAATTGTGACCTAAAAACTTTAATGTTTTAGCATGAATAGTCATTCTAATGTTTGAGGTGTGACACATGTGTGACTTAATAGATTAATTGTCGAAACGTTACGTAACTAATAATTAACGAGGATGTTGATTGGATAGAAGGTATTAAAACTACTTGGCGGGAAACGTAAAAGTAAATAAAACGTGCAGGCATTGTGTTTTTGATTCTTAGTGCTGGCTTACAAGCGGCTACATGATGTTTTGCTTTGTACGAGTACTGAAAAGCACAAGCTTTACACCCAGACAAAGTGTATTAACCCAGCGTTTCTACATGAACTCTAATTCTGCAAAAGGCAGAGTCGGCGTCTTGGTAAGTTCAACAGAAGGAAACTCCGACTGATTTCCACGAATAGGTTCTTTCGAACGATTTTTAAGTAACGTTATTAAAAAAACCGCCGACTAAATTCTCTTACATTGCATAATTTACACGTGTTCTAAATATTCTAACGAAGCTATACGCTCATAATGCGGGTTTCCGCTATTGCGTTCTTGTGCGTTTTATTAGGCTTGTTTTTTTTTAGAAATGTCTGTTCAGATTGATGCAGCCGTGAATTAACTAATATAGAAGAACCTAAATCTGATATGCTTTTAACTGCTAAAATGCACTTACATTTCAATTAAACATTAAAAACGATCGTAAGTACGTTTCGTAAACCTGTTATTCGGACTGTTTGGCTTCATTCCGCTTAGTGGACGAATCCGGTTTTGTGAACCTACTCAACCGATTCATCTCTTGAATGCATCTAGAATGATTGATTTGGCAATATTGTGTAATCATACATGCATCCTTGCCCCTACTCTTTTAGGAGAGTGTATTTGTGATGGCCTTTATTTCGATTGCCGTCCTTGGTCCGGCTGGATGGATCCTGTCCAACGCCTGTGACTCCCACAGAAAACAGCCATGACTGAGGAGGATGCCTCCAGATGGGTTTCAGACACATCTTTGTAGTGGTTTGAGTCCTACATGATTATGATTGATTTGTAACACATTTTTTCCCAAATCTGCTTAAAATAAACATCAGTCTGCATAAGGTGTGATATGTTTGGTAAATGTAAAAGTAGCACTTAAATGATTGCGCTTTCTGTTCTTTTCCTGTTACTGGCTTCGAGCAACTTCTGAATGGTAAAAGTCTGTGCCTTGATGTTATCACGTTCACAATGATTTCTGAAACCACAAATTGACTTCAGGTCAAGTGAGTAAATCCCTTTAATAAAACTCATGAAAGGCAGTGTAACAAAGGAAAAACACTAAAAGCAAGATGATAACATTTACAACCACACAAAAACCTACTGTACAACTCTAATAATGCTGCTGTTTGATGCAGTGTCAGTTTTTCTGCGATCAAGAGCTTTGTTCTGTCTGTACTGGGGGGGGGGGAATCATTCATTTTGTAATGTGGGGAGAACTGGAGTGAAAACTTTGTTTAATCATAGCATAGCCTCGCATACACATGTATGACTCAACTTGGCTGTAGAAATGGTATGGTTTCTTCACAATGGAACCACAGAGTATCACTTATACAGGATGTCATAGTGGCCTGGGCGGTAGAGCAGGAAGATGCGTGGCTCACTTCCTTCAGGGAAGACATGATTGTTCACCGTTCCACCCTCTCCTCTGTCCATGTATTCCACTAATATGGACACGTTCAGTGCCTGTGCTAAGGCAATGATATGGATGTGGTCACTCTCTTTCGACATGGGCTCCACCTCCTAAAAAGTAAAACATGGATTATTAGATGTTAAAGTTTATTTAATATTGCTTTATTTTTTAAATTACATTTTTACCATAGTCTTAAAAAAAAATCGTTCACAAGTAATACTCTTAGGTGTCACTCACCTGCTGGCAAAACTCTTTAACAGAACGGCCGCCCTCTATGAAGTGCTGAAAGAACACATGCTCCCGCTGTAGGTATCCCGAGGTGAGAAGCCTCAGGTAAACCACTATGTAGTCAGACACACTCTGGTCATTGAAGGAGCTTAGCAGTTCACCAAGTGATTGCTGCTTTTCACACAGCTCAATCAGGTCCATGAACTGACAAAGGAGAGAAACCACAGCGAGCATAAGTACAGTTACAGGACTTAAAGGGGTAATTCACTGCAGACAAAGTAAAAGATAAAAGTTGGCTGTCGGTGCAGTAGAAAAAACAGATAAATGGCTGTTGTGAAAAAAGGTACAAAAACTGAAACACCCATAATGCACTGGGCTCGATCAGACTATTCGTGAGCAGAGATACAAAAATGCGGAAGTACAATCTCTAGTTTTCACAAAACCTCTGGAGCGGTCAAAAGTCGCCAAATAAAGCGCATTACATCTTTCAGTGGACTTTTGGTGAAAAATAAACACTCGGGTGGACTTGTACTCAAACTTGACAGGGACTTGGACATTTTGGACTTTAAGTACAGTCAAATCCACTTCATGCGTTACGTGAAAGATAACACATAATAAGTAACATCATAAAATTAAAATGACAAGACATTAATAAACGTCTCCCACTCAAACTCATTGGTTAAGGACTTGGACTCGACTTGAACTCTACAAGACGGATTCGGACCCAATGCTATATACTACCAACATTGTAACAACATAATGCTGGTTGAAAATCTGTGAACTTACCCTTGAAGCATTGAGCTTTAAATTTGAGCATAGTTTTTAACTGATACATTTTCCAACTCACAGTGTTGTGAAAGTCCTCGATAGTGAACTCGGTGAAGCCCTGGTTTACAAGGTCCAGTTTGCTCTTAGCTGCCACGGCTTTAAACCTATAGTGCCAAAATTGAGACAGGTCTGGTACTTAGACATTCACTACAATGACAGAAAGAAAAAACATTTACAAAATGGTACTTTGCGTAAATAAGGTTACTGCTATCTCCAGAATAACTGCAACTACTCCAAATAAAATAAATGGTATCTGCTTTAAGCACCCAAATCAAACAGACACTACCTTTGCAGCTCTTTGCTGTCGTCCAGTAGTGACTCCAAATGTGCAAAGCCAAAAGCTCTGTAGAAACAATTTCCATCTGGCCGTGTCTTACGAATGTGCGAATACTTTTTGTGAAGGTCCTATAAACAAGATATAATAACAACAGTTTTACAGCAGGTTTCAGGCACTTGCTACATGTAAAGTAAGCTCGTGAAAATGTAGTGACCTTTATCTTGAGCTGGTAAATGGCATCCTCTGCAGCATATTCACCCTGAAGCACAGAGAGATCTTGTCTGTCCGACACTAAAGGGTTAGTGGTGGCTATCTATTAAAACAAAAAAAGCAATTAGAGGGGTAGTTCATTTAGTCATCCTCATTTCATTCCAAACCTGCTTGACTTGCTTTCTTCAGTTGCACACAAAGAGAGATGTTAAGCAGAATGTTTCTGTTCTTTTCCATACAATTAATGTGAATAGGGAAAGATGCTGTCGATCTCTTAAAAAAAAAAGTCCACCTGACTTATGTGCGATATAATATTCCAGGTCTACAGGGCTGTTCACACCAAGAACAATAGCAACAATGATAAAGTTTTAAAAAGAGAATAGCACAGTCAAGACCACAACTATAATGATACAGAAGAATGATATCATTGGAATCGCTTTCAAAATGATTTTTTTCAGCTCATAAATGATAAAAACCAATCAGAATCCACCATATTTAAAGAGCTTGAGAATTTAAAACTGCAGATGACATAACTGCAGCATGCACTTATAATAAACAGAACATCGCTATGCACTGGTGTGGACGATAATATAGTTACAGTTATATTTATAGCATTTAAAGCGGCAGACAGCATAACTGCATCTTCCTTAGAATAAACTGAATGTTATCGTTCGTTGTTGTGGATGTTAATATAGTTATTGATATAATTGTCGTTCATGGTGTTAACAGACAATTCAGTTCTGTGACATTAATGGCAGAAATTAAATGCTTCAGTTTTAAATTCTGGATTGTTCAAAGCTATGGTATGGCTTCTGAAGACTTGGGAAAATGTGCACAAGTTGTGTGGACTACTGTAAGATTTTTTATTTTTTTTTGCGTGGGTGTGTGTTTTTTTGGAGTGTGACAGCCCAGCTCTTTAATAGTATGGAATTAAAGAACAGCATAAACATTCTGCCTACCATTTCTCTTACATAGAAGAAAGAAAAATAGCTTTGAGAAGAGGGTCAATTATCACAGAATGGTATGTTTTGTTGAACTATCCTATAAGTACAACTCTATTCATCATTAAAAAACAGCTAACAATTTGACAAAAACACAAAATCATCAGTGATTTGTTCAGTAACAGTTAGCATATATCCAAATTACAAGCCTTTTTTTAAATGTGACATTACTCTGAACACTCACCTCTTGCTGAATACGGTCCTGCTGTGCCATAATGGCTTCGTCATATGCAAGGCAGTTCACTCCTGCAAAATAAATAAGTATATATGTATACATAAAAGTTTTAGACACCTGCCACACAAAAAAACCGGACCTGAGCACACAGCAGTTGAGAGTGATGACACTGCTAATGCTGCAGTTTAGTGTCTTACATTCGGACATAATGTAAACAAAGTCGTGTGTGAGGAGTCCTCTAACCATCATCTAACTCAGTATAATAACCGCCCATAACTGTTACCACACAACTACAACACAAAGAGATTCACCACTTAACGTTACCTCCATAAACCCTGAGTGAAGATTAGTGTATATTGCAGTCTACAGCTGTTTGGCAAACAAGGCTACTATCCTATTTAAACCGAGAGCGTAAAATCAAAGTCTTTGAGTCTTAATGCAAATACGACATGTTAGGAAGATTGGGTTTTATTGTTGGTTAAATGAGCCCAGAGTTTACTCTTTGTAATGCTCTGCATTTCCTCCTCCTGCTCTTACAGCAGTTAAAGCCGAATTCTCTAATGCAAGCTCCCTCATGCAGGACCCTGCGAGATGTTTTGCTTTCGCATGTCAGCTGATCTTTTCAACTGTGTGACGGAATGTTATTTCTGCACTTACCCTCCGTCTCTGCCTGTGATGATACCTGCTTCTCGTCCGCCATCTTGATTGAGTTCTTTTTCCACCGCCCCCTCTCTCATGTACACTTCCGGGTCGTGTCATTCAGTTACAGCTAGGATCACACATGCTGCCAGTGTTTTGTTTTAAACGGAATAGCTTTACTTAAACTGGGTATTTCAAATGTTGTTATTTACCAGACTTGCAGTGCCGCTGAGGACCCTTCAAAAGCTGACCAAGGCACACAGATGGCATCATACTAGTTTGACAAGTTAGTGTGTATTACTGATGATTATGTGACATTTCCATAGGAACTAAGAGCAATTTTAACATGGTTACATCTTAACCTTGTATTTAACATGTATTAACCTCATGCGTTAACACTGCTCTGGGCGATTTAGCAAACTTACCATATAATATGTATGTATGGATAATATGTATTTTTGTTCTAAATTCGAACTATTTACAACTTGTGTTCACAGATGAACTGATTGAAAACATGGACAAAAAAGCAACATGGGACAGATTCTATACAGAAAATGGAAGCAAAGGCCAATTCAAAAATTTTGAATGGTTCTTTGGATTTCACTCAGTCAAGGACTTCATTCTTCCTGTACTTCAGACCATGTCTCATTCCCACAGTGGCCCATTGAACATCCTGGACATGGGTTGTGGCACCTCCGCATTAGGACCTTGTATCTACAGAACCTCTCCATGTGCTGTGAAGGTCGTCTGTGCTGATATCTCTTCAGTTGCAGTGAAACTTATGCAGAAGCACAGTAATTCTACATTGGTACAGCCATGCAATCCGTCCTCTGCTCTTGCCTTCCTGGAGATGGACTGCACACAGTTGAGAGGATACTTTGTGGCCAGAAGCCTGGATTTGATATTAGACAAGGGTACCACAGATGCTTTAGTTAGGTCTAAAGAAGGTCAAGTTAAGGCTGGACAGATAGTGAAGCAATGTTTACAGGTGCTGAAGCCCTCAGGGACTCTCCTACAGTTCTCAGATGAGGATCCTGATGCCAGGCTTGTATGGCTTGAGAGAGAAGTTAGAGGAGCAGAACAGGCAGCTAATGTTGGAGTTCAAGAGGTGGGAGAATTGAGAGGGGTCAGCTATTTTTGCTATCAGATTTCTCCTCGTACGTCTGAAAGGGTTTCCAAGTGACAATACAGTCTTTGTACAAAAATATTGAACACTGAGAGCATAATCTTTTTTTTCCTTGCACAATGTACTTGCCTGATCAAAAACCCATCTACATTGTTTGCATCATATGAACAGGAAACAATACTGTTTCCTGAACACTATAACAATTTTTCAGACTTTTGTAATAAAAAAATCTTTGAGATTTTGAAAAATCTTTCAGAATTAAAAATAAATGTTTTGTCATGTGGTGCTAAATTTTTCTATCGGGGCAAATCAGTTCCAACAAGGCGTTTAATTGCCTCTGCAACAATGCCTAATTTTATGGCCATACACAATGAGAACTGAGTGTATTTAGTATCTGTAAGTACATGGTCTCTCTCGTGTATACGGATTATATGGTCTTCTGTGTCTCTGTTTCATGACCAAGTTGTTCACTGGCCAGTAGGGGACAGAAGCTGAATTAACACCTTAATAAACAAATAATCAGACGTTTAGTACAATATTACATTAATATAATAGATTAAGATACTGATGATTTGAGATAAATAAAATCTGTTTGTACCTCTATAGGAGGGTTCCCTTTCAAAGCTTTGGTAACCTGCTGTTAAGTGGGAAGGTATACTGTTACTGTAGAACTGTGAATCATAGCTGTTGAACTGTGAACCAAAGCCACTGAATTGCCCCATCATTTGGCCTTACACAGGAAGTCTAATATCCATGTCATGTTTTCTCCATATTAACCGCCGCCAGGAGAGCAATATCTCACTTTTCTTCACAGATGCTCTTAAAAGACTTGACTAATGCTCAGAGTTTAACTAGAAATTCATAGGACACAAATATTTAGTAATATTGCATATTATTTTACATTTAGATGGTCCTCACTGCAGAACACAAGATCCAGGGGGCATGGTTGGATCCAGATCCAACTCCTCCCACCTTACATTTACCTAAACTTGTCTCCATCCCCTGATCCCTAAACCCACCCATCTCCACCCCCTAGATGTGGATCCAACCACGCCCCCTGGATCTTGTGTTCTGCACTGAGGGCTACTGTTAATCCCAGTGATCTTTTTATAAACTTCTAAAGGGGGAACATTTCCGATAATGCCCGATTGCAATGAAAACACAATACAAAATACAAAGCAAAATAATAATAACATAAAACTCAGTGTAAACTATATTATACTTGCGTACGTATGCTTTTTGTTATTTTTATATTAAAAACTAAGCAAGTTTAATATATTTAGATTCCGTTCCGACAACAATGGTGGCACCATGATTAAAAAGGACAGAGAAATGATATGTTAAAATATTGGTACTTTGACAAAACTAACCTAACCAAAATGTACTTGAGTATAGCTAAAACGTTTCAAAGTGCCATGTTTTAATCACATAGACAAATAAATATTATCACTGACCAGTTTTGCCAACTGCTTTCAAATGAAAGTAACTAAAACAGTCGCTAAATGTTCCTGTGGCTCAATGGTAGAGCATTGTAAGCAGCACAAAGGTCATGGGTTCAATTCCCAGGGAACACACATACTGATAAAAAATGTGTAGCCTGAATGCACTAAGCTTCTTTGGATAAAAGCGTCTGCTAAATGTATAAATTTAATTTAATTTAAAATACTTCAGTCTGTGCACATTGAATTTATTTAATACACGATTTGAGTTGAATTACTGAAATAAATGAACTTTTCCACGACATTCTAATTTATTGAGATGCACCTGTATATGCATTTTCATTATACCATTTGTTTTAAAACTCACACACACAAAATAAATTATATATATATGCACAGTATCTCACAGAAGTGAGTACACCTGTCACATTTTTGTAAATATTTTATATCTTTTCATGTGACAACACTGAAGAAATGACACCTGTTGTACAAGCTGTACACTCACTACTTTACATTGTAGCAAAGTGTAATTTCTTCAGTGTTGTCACATGAAAAGATATAATAAAATATTTACAAAAATGTGAGGGGTGAACTCACTTCTGTGAGATACTGTATATATATATATATATATACACACATACACACATACATATACACCGATCAGGCATAACATTATGACCACTTTCCTAATATTATGTTGGTCCCCCTTTTGCTTCCAAAAGAGCCCTGACCCGTCGAGGCATGGACTCCACTAGACCTCTGAAGGTGTTGTGGTATCTGGCACCAAGATGTTAGCAGCAGATCCTTTAAGATCTGTAAGTTGTGAGGTGGGGCCTCAATGGATTGGACTTGTTTGTTCAGCACATCCTACAGATGCTCGATTGAATTGAGATCTGGGGAATTTGGAAGCCAAGTCAACACCTCAAACTCGTTGTGCTCCTCAATCAATTCCTGAACCATTTTTGCTTTGTGAAAGAGGCCACAGCCACCAGGGAATACCGCTTCCATGAAAGGGTGTACATGGTCTGCAACAATGTTTAGGTAGGTGGTACGCGTCAAAGCAACTTCCACACAGATGGCAGGACCCAAGGTTTCCCAGCAGAACATTGTCCAAAGCATCACTCTGCCGTCTTACCTTCTTCCCATAGTGCATCCTGGTGCCATGTGTTCCCCAGGTAAGACTCAAATGCACCTGGCCATCCACGTGATGTAAAAGAAAACGTGATTTATCAGACCAGGCCACCTTCTTCCATTGCTCTGTGGTCCAGTTCTGATGCTCATGTGCCCACTGTTGGCACTTTCGTCAAACTCGCTCAAATCCTTACGCTCACCCATTTTTCCTGTAACCCATCAACTTTGAGCACAAAATGTTCACTGGCTGCCTAATATATCCCACCCACTAATAGGTGCCGTGATGAAGAGATAATCAGTGTTATTCACTTCAACTCTCAGTGGTCATAATGTTATGCCTGATCGGTGTGTAAACACTATAACAATCTCTTACCAATAGCATAACATTGATAACCACCATAGACATTGAGGTGGATCAGTCTGAATACTAAGATATGGCCAACAATAATATTCAGTGATGCGAAGATATGGAATACTTTACAATAAGTTCTAGTTATTTTACTGTTCCTCCAATTATTTAATTCATTTAAATAAAGAACCGCATTACAACAACTTCACAATGTTTTATTATTCTTTATCACAAATTATGAATGGGCTTGTAAAAGTACTCTAATATTTATATGAAGGTATGGAAAGCCAACATAAAGTCTCTTCATCTTTCTTATCAAATAAACAATGAAACACCAAATCACAGAATCGAAATAACTTGTTTTGCAAAAGCAAAACAACCACACAAACTTTAACTAACTATCAGGTCAAAATAGCTGGAAGTACTCTTGCATTTTTTAGAACAGAAATGTTTTCAGTAGAAGTGAACATCTGATAAGGAACTTGTATATGAACGTGTACAAGCATCAGTGAACATTCAATAGGAAATATGGAAACAGGAATATGGAAATATCTGTTGAACATCAAAAGCCTGAAATGACTAGGAACCTAAGTGAATTTCAAGGGTTGTTCAACTGGTTATTTAACGACTGAAGCAATCCACCAAGTGTTTGGAGTTCCACGGTCCAGCATTGTTGGCCAAAAACTGCATACTGACTTGAGTTTTGGTCTCCTGATACAGCTGGGCAGCCATCTAGACAGAACAAAACAAATTAGCCATTAACAACAACAGACCACATAGAGCACAAAATGGCACACATACATACATACATATATATATATATACATATATATATATATATATATATTTAACCTCGGTTTTAACTATGTGTGTGGATATTATCAAAACTAAATTAAATACACATACTTTAGCACTGCGGTATGTGGTGAAAGACAAAAAGTCATGGTGGTCTGCTAGCGCTGAGACTTTTCTGAAGCAGAAGTACAATGCTCTTTTACAAAGCCTGCTGGACGATCCAGGACCACTTACAAATGGAGAACTGAGAGAGGGGAAAAAAAGTAAGATCAAAATTAAAAAGTGATGAATTT